GAATTTGACCCGGACTGTGGCTTATGTAGACGCATCTCATATCTGCACTACTGTATCGTATTTGCGGTCATATCTCCCGATGCTCTTGGTGCATGTGTGTGTGTGTGTGTGTGTGTGTGTGTGTGTGTGTGGTGTGTGTGTTGTGGTGTGTGTGTGTGTGTGTGTGTGTGTGTGTGTGTGTGTGTGTGTGTGTGTGTGGTGTGTGTTGTGTGTGCGTGTGCGGTGCTGTGTTGGTGTGCGTGTGCGTGTGCGTGTGCGTGTGCGTGTGCGTGCGTGCGGTGCGTGTGCGTGCGTGCGTGCGTGCATGCATGCATGCATGCGTGCGTGCGTGCGTGTGTGTGTGCGTGCGTGCGTGCGTGCGTGCGTGCGTGCGTGCGTGCGTGCGACTCAGTTCAATAACACATGCGTGGGTATTGTGAGTATTAACAGGCAATATTCAACAGCATCGCCGTGACATGAGTGTACAAGGTACAAATCGTACCGCAAGGTCGTAAATGGTATGTTTTTATGGTGCTTATTGGAAGCAGATGACATAAGATTTCTTCAAGCAAGAACAAGGTGAGTTCTACACACACGCATATCCACATCTATATGTATATAAATGTGTATATATATATATAATATATATATATATATATATACATATATGTATCCGATATCGTGATCTATTGTCGGCGTACAGTAGGACGATGCCGAGCCCGACCTGCGCCCCCGGGGCACACTTACAGAGAGCGCGTGCGTTCGTCGGCGACGAGCGTCTTGGCGAACTCGTCCAGTCCGTGTTGTCGGCCGCGCACGAACTCCGGGTTCATGTTTCCGAACATGCGCTTCCCGGGCAGCTTGGACTGAAACGTTTGCACCTGAAATGGACAAGCCCCGTTACATGCGGAATGCACGGTGCCCGCCAAAAGATCTTCATTCTGTAACGCCGTGGAAACCACCGTGGTACATTGGGAGCGGAGGGACTGCTCAAGGAGCTTTACAGCAGGAAAATCCCTAAAACAGTCTGAATGAAAGGACAATAGGCACGCTTCCTTGATGCGGGTGTCCTTCGTAATGCTGATGCTGTTGTTTCTGATTTTCTATCTACCCACAGATGCTGAACATTACAATAAACTTTCGCTCTTTCGTCAGTGTCACGCAGAACAATTCATTTACTCACGTTGCATGAGTACACAATCACAACTATCGTTTACAATAGGGACGTTTGCCGTCCTCTGGCCGGTTGGGGCGAAACCAAACAGTCATATCGGCGACCGACCTGTTTCTTCAGTTGTTCGTTGAGTCGATGGAACTCGCTGTACCTCCGGTGGACGAACCAGCTCTGGCTTCCGCGCCGGATGACGAGTTTGTACATCTGGGAACGTCGGAAACGCTGCAGATATGTGGCACGTTTGGAGGAGGCTACTCCAGAAGTGCTGATTCATTTCTGGAGCATTCTTGCCGCAACTATGTAACACTCGGACCACCATTTCCAGAACTGACTCAGAGATTGAGAATTGGTTGCAAAGGCTGGCATGCTCTACGCGGAAAACAAAGCAATGAAGGCGACGGACGACATCACTTCGCAAGCATTGCTGTCAGGTTCGCGAGCGGCCCACGTGGGCCAGGGCTGCATGGTGAAGAGCGAGCGGGCACGAGGGTGGCACACGCGAAGGTGAGCTTTTCGAAAATTAGTGGGGGTCACGTCGGCATTTCGTGTCAGTTACCTGTCCGTGACATCCGAAGGCTCCCTAAAAGTTGGGGAGCGCCAGACCCCAAAACGGAAAATTTCGGAAAATTGTAAAGCACTAGACAGAAAATGTCGGGAAATAAACAACGGACATGCATCTGAAATACAAATCGACGCAATGAAACCACTCACCCGATGAACTTCACTGGACAAGATAAAACAGCACCGGATTAGTTCTAAGTGCTTTGCATAACTCAAAGCATCATTAGCATGCACCACCGCGGTGTCACGGACAACATAATGGTAGTTAATGTGGATTTACATAAATCACCACTCCGTTGAGCAATGCTCACAATTATTCTTCACCAGCGCTCGTAACTGGTGACGTCATCAGCGTTGCAATTTTACAACATCGCCGCACTTAACTTTGCAGAAGTCGGTCATTTAGGTTTTAAGCATTGTTAAGGGTCAGTCAAATTTCAGGAACACCAAATCACACACAAATTAACGTGTAGTGTCACATTACCAGTGCGCCCTTCATCACACCAACAAGTCCGCAACTCATCGCCGAGTGGGTGTGTGAGTCCACTACGCCCCGTGCCCCGCGTCCCGTTGGCGCGCGCCTCCTTCCGGTGTGGACGGCGGCCGCCGGTCTTACCGTGTACTTGCCCTCCCAGGTCTCCGAATCGGTGATGTCGACCTCCGGCGGCGCTGCCATCCTTGGGCCAGTGAGTCAACGAGGCCGCCTGGCCTTATCGACGAGCCGCCCCCGTTCCTATCGCGGTCGCAGGACGCTCTGGGGCCCGGCGAACTGTGGGACGTCGGTAGAGAGGCGCGCTAGTCGGACGTCAGTCATCCTGGTTAGAAACAAACGCGAACGGAGCATGGCAGGGCTCCCGTGGCAGGTGGGGTCATCACGGCTCCAGACGCGGACGGAGCGTGGCAGGGCTCCCGTGGCAGGTGGGGTCATCACGGCTCCAGACACGGATGGAGCGTGGCAGGGCTCCCGTGGCGGGCGGGGTCATCACGGCTCCAGACGCGGACGGAGCGTGGCAGGGCTCCCGTGGCGGGCGGGGTCATCACGGCTCCAGACGCGGACGGAGCGTGGCAGGGCTCCCGTGGCGGGCGGGGTCATCACGGCTTCAGACGCGTACGGAGCGTGGCAGGGCTCCCGTGGCGGGCGGGGTCATCACGGCTTCAGACGCGTACGGAGCGTGGCAGGGCTCCCGTGGCGGGCGGGGTCATCACGGCTCCAGTCGCGGACGGAGCGTGGCAGGGCTCCCGTGGCAGGCATCACGGCTCCAGTCGCGGACGGAGCGTGGCAGGGCTCCCGTGGCGGGCGGGGTCATCACGGCTCCAGATTTGTCGATAGACACGCGATTGCCACTAATCGTTCTGTTTGAAAACTCCTTACTGACCTGACGAGAACTGTTGATCTGGTCGATTGAGATCAGCTGAGACTACCCTGAGATTAAGATCAGCTGATACTTCTATCTACCTCAGTCGCAAAATTCAGAAATGGTAGCAGATGACGAAGCAGTGACTCCGACACGGCGTAGTTTCCTATTCAGTTGGCCGTTGTAGAAGGGGCTCCAGCCCCCAACTTCGGCCCGAAAGTGGGTCAAATCCGCAGATAAATCCGTTTTCTCGGGATACGAGGGAAGGTTTAGCCTTTTCTTCTTTTTTCGCATTTTTTTTAGCCAGTTAATCCGTTCCCTTCCCGAACACATTCTGCGAAAGTATGCTCCTGCTATCGAGTCCACAATGGCTCGTGCTCTTGTTCTGCCTTCATTTAACGTTTTACCGGTCATCGGTCTGCATTCACCTCAATTTCGCTGGCAGCTGTATCATCCATTGATCCGTTTCCTTGACTCACATTGACATAATGAAATTTGTGGTTTGTAAGCAACACACTGTTGTGATATTCATGCACGCACGTTTTAATGAAGACGACATTCTGGATTCAAGTTCCAAAAGATTCGTAAATCGGCCATCGGTTGATCATACCGATGAAATATTTGATGGCGCATTCTTCGGCGCACACGATGTGTAGCGCAAATACACTCTGAGCATACTGTCACGAACTTTCCCTTCGCGCCGGAACAATGAAACCGCCTTATCCAACAATCGGCGACAGAGAACCTCAACACGACCAGGCCGCACAGCAAATACACAGCCCTGACCTGCATGGAACCGAGTACAGCCAAAGCCACGCGCCACAGCTGAGACGCCGCAGTGTACTCTGAATACGGACCACAAACCTTTGAATGCAGACACTGGGGCCGAACTCCGCCCCAAAATAATCGGCTGGCGCCACTGAATTTTCGATAAGCAACGTGTCGTCAGTTCCTCATTTGCCGCGGCGCCCTTGGCCCCCTTAACGAGTCAGAACGAGTCCAGTGTCTGGTCCATTCTGGCAGGCTTAAAACATTGTCAGGTCGCATCCCTAGGTCTGAACGGATGTGGATAAACACAGTACATCCTCTGTCCTCCCCCGTCCACCGTGAGCTGTAACCACACGGTGCTGTGTCGGCCGTGTCCTCGCAACGTTCCCGCGTCCGTTTGCGCCGGCGTCCTCCTGACCTGATTCACCGGGGTGGGGTGCGTCAGGACCGCCAGCGGGCCTCCGCCCCGCCCCGCGCGCCTAGCGCTGCTCGCTGTCGTCCCCAGGTCCGCGCGCGCGCGCGCAGTGGACCACGCGACTCTGATCACGCACAGGCGCCACCCACGGCGGCGGGAGGACGCCGCCCCGAAGTGGGGCACGCGGGGCTCCCTATGAGTCACCGGTCGAAGACCTGACCGGCCAGGAAAACAAACAGGCCGAATGTGCCGCGTCTCGAGCGATATTGGACACCGGTGCCAGCCTCCGTGCGGCGTGTGGCATTCCTCGTCACGGGCGAGCCGAGCCGACCGACGGCAGGGCCAGCTCTGTGCAGCCAGCTACAGCTGAATCGTTCTTACAGCACCATGCATGCTGTGCGACAGAAGCAAACCGAATTTGGCTACGGTCTGTGCTTTTTGTTTTTACAGCACTGCGTATCTGCCAAAGTTCAGCCCACATGTTTAAACGCGGCAAATTGCCAACGTTTAATTGTACATTTGGGCTATAAAATTGCCTGCGATAGGTGCAAGTGGGTGATGCTGAAAATATCAGCTCAAGGACACACACCCAGGGCTGCTGCGCTTGAGTGCGTGGGCGTGACGCCAAACGAAGCACTTGAATTCGTTGGTTACACCTCATGAATTGCTTAAATATTTTAAGAAAACAAATCTCCGAAGAGGGTCTCGCTCATTCACCTGGCCTAACGGTTGGGCATACCCAGCGTCATACGCCAATGCGCTCAGCATACATGACCATGCCTCTCCTTGATCCCGGGCCTGCTCTCATCGGGGCATACGTCGTCGGTTGTTGACCCTGTAAGTGATGGGGCCAGGACGACGGCAGGGTGAACAGCGGCACCAATGCCCCGTGCCAAAACGTCGTGCTAAATGGGGCAATAAACCTATTCCACCTACGCAAGACATTCGAAATGCCGTGCAACACATCACATTCGTGACAGACTGGTCGCTCCTGTTGGTCAAATCATCTAAAATCAATAAGTTAATCAGCGGTGAAACCCCAAACAAAAAAGAGCATATATATTACACTTGTGTCCACTTAAAGGCACACTCATCAATACAAACTCATCGAAGCTTCCAATGGTAGAGGCGGAGTGAAGCATGTATATCTCAATGCTTATTCAGTAGCGTTTGTGTGCAATGAAAGGTGCCAAACAAGCATTCAGGCACAATGACGCGCCATAAACATTCAGGCACAATGACGCTCCATAAACGCATGACGGTGGGCAAACACCAACACAGATGTGGAAGCAAGCCATTCACGGCGCGAGCAACTGAAGGATGATGATGACACTTTAATTTGAGGGGATGGACAGGGCGTCGTTCGCAGCGGTCGTCCTGAGCCCAGACCAACTGAACAAGAACTTGTTTGCTACCCTAGGCCCAGATACGCACCATTAGTCACGTCGACAGCAGCGCTCACGGTGCGCGGGGTGCAGCGATTAGCCCATCGGCCAATCACTAGCAAAGTATGCACTACACAGGATCCACAGCGACCCCACGGACGGGAGGGCGGGGGGACCACAGGGCGAAGGCATGATGGATGTCCAAACCAGTCCATACTGCTTACATCCAGTCCAACCTCATTTCCGTCAGTGTTTACACATATTTGGCCGACATGCAATCAGTGCGTGCGGCGAACTGCTCTGTCCGGCCCCGGCCTGCACAGGCCCGTCCTGAGCGAGACCGCGTCCTGAGCGAGACCGCGTCCTGAGCGAGACCGCGTCCTGAGCGAGACCGCGTCCTGAGCGAGACCGCGTCCTGAGCGAGACCGCGCGTTGCTAGCTTGATGCCGGGCGAACGCGTTCTTGGATCATCCTGCACAGCGGCACGCAGTCCCGTGACATTTATTTCCCCACCGCATCGTGCTTCTTCGTTAATAGCGGGGTTTCTACAAAACGTAGCATTTAAATCGTGATAACGCCGGGGAAGCCAAGAACAAACTGGAATCGATACTGGCTAAAGGCACCCAAAAGGGCACACGCATTGCGGAACGCGCAGCTAAAAATAGCCGTTGATTGCACCAGGTACGGATTTCACAACACCGGTGTTCCCTCACAGGTCGTCGACCCATCAAGCGGGATCACGGGAGCAAACGGTGGAGGCGGAGCCTGCTCACGTGCTGGGGAAGACCCACAAGGGCAGCGTTGTTTCTGGCCCCCGTGTAGGTGCACGTGAGGCAGCGTGGTACACGTGATGTCCCCCGGCAAAGGGTAGCGTAGTTTCTGGCCTCTGTGCAGGCGCAAGCGAGGCAGCGTGGTATGCGTGATGTCCCTCGGTAAATTCTTGTGAGTGAGGCGCAAGTGCTTTGGTTTTCCCGTGCAATGACAGGACTTGCCCTTCGGTAACATTAATGAGTCGAAACATCACGCCTTCATTTGTAAGACTGGCAAGATCCCGTTCAGTTCCGTTCAGCACGTTTTCATTTGTGGGGCTGGCAAGATCCCGTTCAGTTCCGTTCGGCACGCTTTCATTTGTAAGGCTGGCAAGATCCCGTTCAGTTCCGTTCAGCACGCTTTCAGTTGTAAGGCTGGCAAGATCCCGTTCAGTTCCGTTCAGCACGCTTTCATTTGTAAGTCTGGCAATATCCTGTTCAGTTCCGTTCAGTACGCTTTCATTTGTAAGGCTGGCCAAATCCCGTTCAGTTCCGTTCAGCACGCTTTCATCCTCAAAACGTTAAAGGGCTTTCTTTGAGGCCGGGTCAAATGCATGCAAAACTGCAGTCAAATGCAGATGGGCAGGCAATCCATCATCGTCCGACCTGCCCGACGCCCAATCAGAGGTCGCTTCTGACGAATAGATTCACAAGGTCATCCGCAGCACGTGCGTGATGGTCTGTATGCGGAAATTCAGGTGGCTAAGTAAATTCGCGACTCGCTAGTCAATGCCATGAAGCATGTTCCTCCATGTCAGATCGCGTTTCTCTAAAGTGGAAACGATGAGTGAAGAGGCGCAGCGTATGACCCTGGGATGCGAGAGGAGAAAACATGAAGGACGAGTGGACGGACGAGGTCGGTTACCTAACGAGCATATCGTCATATCACCTATCTCAAAGGTTCTAGTTGCCCTTACTCTTAATGGCTTCCTTAACAAGTAATTTGCTCTCGCCAAATCACAACTCGCCTCAGGACAGTTAGGTGCACTGCCATTTGCTCTCGCCAAATCACAACCCGACTCAGGACAGTTAGGTGCACTGTCCCGCAGACAGCTGGAGAGCGCCAGACAAATAGGAAAATACAGCCTCGGGCAACTTCAGGACATCGGGCTCTCGTCACACATAACCGAATTTTCAGCCATTTTAGTATCCCTGATGGCAAAACTGTGGGTCAACATTTGACCTGGCGAGCATCTGCGGCGGGCGCGTGACCGATGACGGGCGCGACAGTTGGCTGACAAGCGGCGCGTCACAGCGGCTTGAGCACGACGCGCCCGCCTGCTGAACGCCCGGTCGGCGCGGGCAGCAGCTGCGCGCGCCGCAGCCCTGGTCCGCGTGCGCCGCCGTGACGCGCGCCGCAGCCCTGGTCCACGCGCCCCGCCGTGACGCGACGAAAACGGCCCGTCCCACTGCGACCTCGGCCCGCAGAGGCGACGCAGCGCGATGGCCGAGAGGGAAAGCAGCGTACCCCACACGAGAGCGTTCACCCCCACACGCGACTGGAGCCGTAGTACGAAACGAAAACAACAAGGGACGGGAAGGGACGCAGCCAGGCGCGGCGGGGTTGGGCGGAGAAGTTGTGCAGTCCACGGCGATATGGCCAGCCACCGGCTCAAGCACCGTGTGACCAGCACAGCACCACTGACTTCCGTGTGCTCCCAGCGTCGAACACGGGCGCTACCAGGACTGGCCGCTCCCCCGCTGCTGCCGCCTGGCTGCGCCACTGCCCGATCGCGTGGCGCCAGGGACGGGCGATGAGCGGGGAGGGGGGCATCCGGCCCCGGGCCCACAGGCCGACCGCGCGGAACAGCCGGCGCCTGTCGGCTGGGCGTGTGTACGCGGGGACGGGCATTACTCCAAACGAGGGGAAGGACCCGCCAAGCGGCCGGTTTATTTTCGCCCCCTGGCGCGCGCAAACAGCTGGCAAACGCCTTGGTCATGGTACCGCTGATGCAATGGTCTAAAATAATGTCCCAGAAGGCGACATTGACGGAATGCGAAATCCACAGCAAGCTCTCGAGAAATACGGAGTTGTGTCGATTACTCACTGGGCGAGGCATGCGGTGACGCGGGAGCGCTACGCAGCATAACCATACCGTCTCCTCAGCCCCATCAACGTGATCCCCAGTCTACAGCGCTGGGCGACGATTCTCACGAAATCTGCTGCGAGGAAAAACGGAGCGCGTTCATTGAGCCGAGGATCCGTTTTCGAGGCTACGAAGGGCGGCACAGGACAAGCGCGGCGTTGGACTACACACGAACAAAGGAGCCGAAAGACGACAAAAACTGAAACAGCTCGTTGCATGTGCGGAGTCGAAGCAGTGAAGCACACGCATTAAAGCGGCTTCGTATCCGAACAGTTCGTACCACAACAAGTTCATAAGAGCGGCGAATCAAACATGGTCCACAATGGAACCGAACGGCTTCCTGGTATTTAGAAACGAATTGAGAAGTGGTATAAAAATCGCTGGGGGTGGGTTGGGGTGGGGCAGGACACGAAAGGGACAGCCCGGCTCAAAGAAGACTCGTGTTTTATTGGGTGAATATTTAACAGCTGTACGGGCACAGCACAAAGTACAAACCGAACCCCCGCTTGCATGAATTGGTGTCGTTAATTGGTTAATAGCACATTCTTTGGCTAGTGACTCATTAATAACTAGTGACTCATTAATAAGCTAAGTTCCCAAGAGCTGGAACGCCATCCACGTCCACTACCATGAAATGAACTTGTCGAATTGCATGCGAGGAATTGCACAGCTGACAATCCCGCCAACATGTCTGCTGGGACGTTAACATCTCACATACACGCGACAAAGCACGGGAGCCATGTCAACTATGTCATGCCAGGAGCCACCGCAGTGACGGCGATGGCCTGCGGCGTGTTCATGCGAGAGGCATCCGGGCCCGTACGCCCGGATGACCTCGGCTGGCCAGCGGCCTGGGCAGCGCCGTCAGGACACAGGCCCCATCACCCAACACTCGGGCGCCTGCCACGCGACGTGCAGCCCACCAGACACAACACAGACCGGAAGGAATGTGCCCGCCTGCGCACGAGCCAGTGACGTCAGCCGCCGTTACGTGCAGATGATGACGCAGATCTAAGCATACATATAGTTAGTCCTAATCCCCCCCCCCCCCCCCCCCAGCTCCCGGCGTTCTTTCCACGGCTATTCTGTGTGTTTGCGCCTCTGAGTGCGACGCACCCATTGGAGCCAATTTAATTGTCCCACGAGGAATGCTAAACGTTTTGCTACCGGAGCCTCGCGAGGAGCGTCAGGGAACCTGAAACACGGCTCGTGAAGCCACTCGAACTCCTGACCGAGGCCGCCGGCACACATTGGACGTTTCTGAGCTCCGGTCTGTCTGTTTCGACGCTGGTTTCTATGAAGCCAGTAGGCTGCCGTGATCGGGACCCCACAGACCCCAGAGGTTACGCCCATTCCCGGCCGTACCTAGTGGTTGCCGGCACTGTTAAGCCAGACCCCCAAACGGGGCCAGACTGGCACATAAACAACGGAGTGACGATCGAGCCTCGGAAAAACACACCAGCGCTCGTGTCGCAATGACTAGTGGTCGTAGAAGTCGGCGCGGGACACAGAGTAGCGTGCGCTGGGAGATAGATCATCATTGGCCACCCACTCAACGTTCATTCACGGCCATCGGCCAGCCCCCAAGATGTGGAAAGGTTCAGACCGGCCACCCCTTCGTGATAGGCGCATCACACGCTGAACAGAATGGAATGAACATAGCATCACCTCCAGCTTTGGCTACCTAAAACGAACAGGCACCTCGGACCGCATCGAAATCTTATAACACTCACCGAGACTCGCTGGCGCCGGCACCGGAGCGATCCGGTGGCCGAACCCTCAGTGACCGACCGACCCCCCTCCCAGGCTCGCTGGCGCCGACACCGGAGCGATCCGGTGACCGATCCCCTCAGTGACCGACCGTCCCCCCTCCCAGGCTCGCTGGCGCCGACACCAGAGCGATCCGGTGACCGATCCCCTCAGTGACTGACAGATCCCCAGAAGCTCACTGAACGCACTTCGTTTTTGTTTGCAGTTGTTTTTGTCAGAATCGTCGCCCAGTGCAGCAGCCTTCGAGGCTGGCTCCACCTACCGTTCAGTGGGGACGACCCTGCTCGCTGGAGCTGGCGTTCCGCCGCTGAGCTGCCGACCTCGCGTGCTGTGTCGGAGACCCGCCACACTCGCGCACTTCTCTCCGCGGCAGTCCCGCCCCGTCTCCGCAGCCGCCGGCCGCGCGCCGCCCTGGCACCGCCCGCCGCCGCGCCGGTCGGCTCGGCTCAGTTTCAGCGGCACGCGCGTGATGACGTCACTGTCGCGTCATGACGTCACACGCCGCCGCCGGCCGCGGACCGCACGGCGCGGGGGAGGTCTCGCGGGGCGCGGCAAAGTTTGAAGCTCGAGTCAGCTGCTGTGGCGAAGGTTGGCGTTGGAGATGTAATGTACCGTACCGCTCAAACGTGCCGGCAGCCACCATAAACCAGTTTCGACCGTAAGTGCATTTTCGGCAAGAGGACTTTGCCGGTACCAGGACTGTACGTCATTTGGCAATTATTGGCCTGCATGGTTACGATGTAGTGCCTCTACCGGCTAACCATAGCCGCTTTCAGGTCGATGGCATTCATGTTTCTAGACGGTTTGCAGCAACAGGCTTAGATGCGTTTGTCCCCATCACAAACTTTCCTTTTTCTGGAACCAGGCGGTAGTTGACATTCCAACCAGCAACCTATCCATCCCAACAAATACCGAGAATCCGGAAGGTAGATAACGCCACTCCTGTCGTTTTCTTCGTGTGATGCTGCGGTATGACAACACGGTTCAGTACATCATGTGCGTGGTTTGTCAGGCGCCCTGTAGCGTCATAGCCTGGAGTGCTACCGAAGTGTAAATATAGTATGCATATTTTAATATATTATTCAATAATCGTCACAATGGTGCCATCTCCCACAGGGCTGTCAAAACCATTCAAAGTGAAACATTGCAGTATTGAAATCAATGCGTTGATGAGAGTGTGCTACCTTTTTTAATCCGCATTTTAGTGGGCTTAACGCCTTCAAAGATAATTTCTGATCCACTTCTTCCGTGTCGCGCCCTTCACGCTGCTGGCTCGAGTTCCGGTCGTGTTGTTCTGGAAGGCCTCTCCGTGCTCATGAGAGCAATCATCTGGTTCTCATTTGTATGCGGGCTTAATTTACGGCACGGTAATATGGCTCGCAAGACCGACGGCGGTCTGTAGTCATAAATACACAGCCGGGCAAAGAGAATACAGGATATTAGCAGCAAATGTTACTCCGAAGGCGTCGGCGCGAAGCTAAATCGCAACTAATAATTCAAGTATATTTCATACGAGGGTTTCAACCGATACGATACCATAAATATCTCAACAAAAGCAGATAGGTCGCTTTGTCGAACACCCCAAAACACCCAAACACAGTTCAAGCTGGCACAGCATTTGAACTCAGGGTAAGGTTGCAGTTTTGATTTACCTACGACCTAACTTTAAGTCACCAATTAAAATACGCGCAGAACACACAAAAACGACAGAAATCACACTCCAAGGCATACCGGCATGTCGCTGCCGTCATATACGACGCACGGGGCTAATGACAGATGACATTTCTTGCGTACAACCGACAGTGAGTATTTTATACCCCACCCAGATTAACGGCATGAGTTAGGGAAAATTTACTTGGGGACAACCATGCACGCAAAAATACTGGACAGCATAGCAAAAGCATTATACGAAGCAAGAGAGGTCATTCCATAGCACCACGGAGTGAGAGCCGACCCGCGTGACTCGAGCTCGCACAACCTCGTTCAGCGTCCCGTATGGGGCTGACTCAATAACGAGCCAGCGTACCCACCGTGCGCGCCGACTCCCGCGCGTTATGAGTCGTCCACCCGTGTGGTGTGCTTCACACCCACAATCACGAAATCGGAGCGCTCGGTGCGTCTCCGCCACATGGTCCAAACCCTGGGCGAAATACGAACCACCGCCCGTCACACGGGCCCGTGCGCTGATAGCCGCCGTTTGAGGCCCCCACGCCTCCGAACCCTACTAATACACCTGTGTGGCCCCAGACACTGAGGGCTAGCCGCGTCCGGAATGGGGCCGCAGGCAGCGGCGCGACCCGCCCGCACACAGCGGCCGCCGGTTCATCTCGAGTCGGCTGCCCTCGCCCGCGAACTCCACGCACCCAGGCTTGGACCCACGGTGGCACCACACAGCCCCGCACCGGTGTACCGCACGGCGGCGGTACGGCGGCACCACACAGCCGCGTACCGGTGTGCCGGTGTACGGCTGGATCACGCGCCGCCACAGCCGGGAGGGCTGGCGCCGCACTGGGCGGCAGTACCGCGCCCGGACCACCCAGCGGCCGAACAGCTGCACTGCGCCAAGTCACAGCTGCCGCGCCCCAGGGCAGCTGCACCATCAGATCACACGGCGGCAACGGCCGCGGCGGCCGAGGTCCGTCAGCCGCGCGCAGGAGCGCCGCCGCGCACAGGAGCGGCGCCGAGCATAGCAGCGGCGCCGCGCTCCCACCGCTGCCGGGCCGCGGGCCGCGGCGCTAGCACGAGCACGGCTCGTCGTCTGCCTGCGGCGCCTCCACTTTGAAGGCGCGATCGTCGAGCCGCTCGAGCTCCTTGCGCGAGCGGCTGGAGACGGCCACCTGGCGGGCGATCTCCGTGAACATCTCGTGCACGCCCTCGCCCGTCTTGCACGAGGTCTTGAAGGTGCCCGTCACCACATTGTGGCACTGTTCGCTGGAACGGCAAGAGATGACGTCAGCGCGCGCACGCTGCCACTATCGGCACACGCGGCTCCACGAGAGGTTCGGTACAAAACTAATGACGTCATGGCTGTAAGAGACGCCACAAGCCGCTCCCGAGTAAAACGCTTGACGTACGCAGTCGACAAGCATGCACTAGCCTGCTCCACATTGTATGCCTGAATTCTGGAATATTGTTAATGGGGACTGGCATCAACGATAGCTTACATTCAACACAAACCATTAAATCTACAGTATAATATGTGGGTACTTAGAATATAGTATAGTCCGTACAGTTACGGATAGGCATCAACGACAGCTTACATTCAACACAAACCATGCAGTCTACAGTAAAGCAGGTGGGTACTTTGAAATAAGACGAGGTTCAAATATGCATTGCTGGGGCAAATGATGCACGACGCCTTTATTTAGTTGCCAGTAGAAGTGCCATAGAAAACAGCACATATGCCTATCCGCTACTACATGTCCTTTTCATCCGTCACGCATGGAGGCTCAAAGGCGCAAACGTGCGAAAGCCCATAACATGGTGTTACGAGCGGTTCAACGTGATGGGAAATGCACACACCGTTCTCCATTTCTTTCAGGGGCGGGGGGATGGGGGTGGACACCGTCTGTCGTACACGGAATGCTATGGGGTCCCGAGGCAGCACAAGAGGAAAGGTTCGCAGCGACCGACTTCCGGTGCAGACGCCCCTCCCCTCCCCCCCCCCCCCCCGGTGAGCGCCACGCACTCATGCGGTACATGGTGAGCAAGGAGGGAGGCAGTTCTAGCAAGGTGGCAACAGCATATGGAACCCGTCAGACAAGCGTCATTAAAACCACCACAGGGCGAAAAACTAAACTTCGAAAGGGGCAACAGGATTTTCAGAAACCCCAGAGGCAAGACAACATTCTAAATACGGTGTGAATAAGCTGAATCGCGCTTTTCAAGGCCTGGAGGAGACTGTCAGGAATCATAGTGGACGACGAAGGTTCCTTTACTTTACACCATTCCTCAGTGCCTGAAAATGGAGGTCACTACACTCCAGACAACGTCCAGGGCATCGGCGGATAAAGAAACTTACCAGAAGGGTTGTATGCGGGGAGACATAACGCTATTCACTGCGAAACAACATAGGGATGACAGTTGCTTGTTTTGGTCAGATATGGTGTCTACTCAGTACGCCCCGGCGCACAATGCAGTTTCAGGGCAATGCGCAGATTCTTCACGTGCAGCTAGACGGGGGCCAATCCAACGCAGCTCAGACTCAGATGCATCCCAGACGGGATTCATTGAAAACCTGTGAGGTTTGCTGAACCAAGAGGTCTATGGTAATGGTACGGGGCCAACTCAAGCGAATACCAAATAATAACGCATGAACAAATGCTGAAGAAGCGCGAGAAAATGGGCCGTTAGATAATCGCTGATGAAAACAGAGAAGTCGTGCAGACAATGTTGTACGAGATGCGCGCGGGGGTACGTCGTTCTAGCAGACATGGCTTGTATGCGACAAGCAAGTGATGTGGTTGCAAAGTCCACTGAGGTGACCAGAAGCTGTGGTCATTTTACTGAGGCGTCTCAATAATACACCTATCGAAATGCTGTCTTTTCGTTTGGCACTCACTCGTTAATTCCATACCACAAGGCTTTTCAAGCACCGGAAAAGTCAGCTAACGATTTGTCCGGTAAAGTATCTTCAAAAAACCCACACAAATTACACGAATAGCTCCAAAGACATCACTTTCGTTGTAACATACCATAAAAGCATACTGATATATTTGGCAATCTAAGGATGTACTTGGATGCCTTAAAACATTTACTTGTAAAATGATTTACTTTTAAAATATTCATTTTTCAGTTCCCTTTAGAAGTGATTTTCAAAACGATTCCGTTTTCATACGGATTCACTTTAAAAAAGGACTTACTTTGAAAAATATCTACTCCTAAAACAATGTACTCTTAAAAAGAATTTGCTTTTGCGTCACGAAAGGTTGCACCCCAGTGGTGGGCCTCACCAGAACATCTGAATATCGGCATCGCTGACCACTGAGTCGTGCTTCAGGTCTATCTTGTTGCCGCACACGTAGATCTTGGCGTGCTCTGCGTGCGACACAATCTCCAGCAGGTGCTGCGACAGCACGTTGAACGAGTCGACACTGTCCATGGCGAACACCAGGATGGCCGCCTCGGCGAACTTGAAGTAGCTGGAGGTCACCGACGCCACGCGCTCCAGTCCACCGGTGTCCCAGAGTTGCAACTGGGTGGACATATTCACATTATCACCAATGCCGACCACTACGGAGGCAAGCAATGGATAGGAGAAACCGCACCGTGACGTTCTGTTGATTAGTGGCTCTAATCCCAACTTGGCAAACACATATTATTCGAACACCGTCCTCGTTAAGGAAAATATAACATTCGAACTAGATCGACAAACTGAGGAAATGCTGCAAGGAATGCGCGAACCCCTGTACTGAGCAAAGCAACATGTCCAAGGCCACGCTGGAATTGAACTCCCCAAAATTGCATCCAGGTTTGAAGAGGGGTGTTAAGCCAAAACCTTCGACATCAGTTTCAAACGATTTGACATGACACCAGTTCGGTACAAATTGCCACATAATGTCCACGACCATCAATTCCCTCCTTGTTTTGCACCTACGACACCCAAATGCGTTCGAAATTCCAAACACAAGTGGAGCCTTGTTTGGCGTGCCTTAGTTTGTCGTTCGTCGGGACCGACGCTGTAGGTCTTCTCGTACTGGTCGAGCCCGAGCGTTGACTTCCTGTCCGAGGCAGACACGAACGAGTCGGTGGCAAAGCGTCGGAACAGGGAAGACTTGCCGACGCCGTACTCGCCGCACAAGATGACCTTCTGGCATGGCATCTTCAACGTTGCCATCCTCGTGACGCCGCCTCCGCCGGGTCTACAGCCCAGTAAGGAGCAGTATTGTTAAATCTGATTGCTGTGTCAGGTGCCATGGAAAGTGAACTGTGTGTGCAACCTGCTCTGATATGTTTGGATTGCTACAGTTTGAAAAAGGAACCCCTGCACTTCATACAGGGGATACATTTTTTTCCAAATGATGGAACAGAGAGGTGCACAGCTGCATGACCTAGTGATATGAACCAGATTTCCAGGATTAACCAGGAGTGGACAAGGGCTGTGAAAAAAGGCACTATGAATGCACTGCTCTCTTACATCATGACACACCTGTGGACTAAAATGTTATTTATGAACCTGCTAACACCCAGTGTCCTGGCATATAGTGTCTTGCTGAATGGGGGCAGTAGAACACTCTGGCAACAGTGCAGGATGATCTCTAATCTGCAACTGGAAGAACTACCAGCCACTGAATCCCTGATGGTGCATCAGTCATCTCACAATCAAGGAATCTGCATCTGCAGTCTTCACACAGGGACTGCGAGCCCTCATAGGATAGTGTATCTGGCTAAGAGGGCTTGAAATGTCAGTGGGCCAAGAGGTGGTGATCGCTTGATTGTTTTCCACTCCTGGTCAATATGGTTGCCCATGATCAGCTTAACTGTCACATGGTCCATTGTGAGCAAGATGAAGCTGCTCTCACTTCAAGTGGAAAAGAGACTTTGTAGTTCACCCCCACTCCATTAAACCACCCACAAATGGCCAGGGAGTCTGAAAGGAATCATGTAGAAGTGAATGATGCCACATTTTCAAAAACCAGCCTCCAAAAATGCTTCCTGGAGATTAGTTCAAGGGACAGTTGGGCTTGAAAACTACATAACATTCAGTCCAGTTCCTGTTTCATCATCCACACAACACAATGGTTTGCAACACTTTGGTTATGACTACTGTAAACATGGATGAATACAAATTCATTACTGTATTGAACTACACTAACCAGGTCCAGCCAGCACATGTCCAGGACATTGTTCACATGCAGTTTGTGAGATAACATGCTACTATACCAGGACATCTGTGTGTGCTTAATTTACATCAAATACCAAGCCAGTCACATGAAACAAGGCATCCTACTGCATGTTTTGAAAGAAGATGCCTTTTTTGTTAGAATATTAGCATTATGAATGAAACGGCAATGCTCCCAGCATGGCTCAACCTTGCTTGCACCACACTGTGATGGACAATTTCCAAACTACATTTTACTGCTCTGGAAGGACATTGGAGATTTGGAGTCACTTGGGCAGAAGTTCAACCAGAAAAAAGCACAGGAATAAAGAAAACACATGAAATAACCCAGGCCAGAGGATCTACCACAGGCTGAAAGCTGGGCAACATCCAAGCTTCTAGGGCACTCAGTCCATGCAACTATGCCTGGGGAACTATGGTCTTAGTGAGATAGCAGACAAGGATCCCTGGATGAAAAGCAACTGGGGATTGACAAAGCAGAATACACTAGATATTTTGAAAGCAGTAAGCTGTGACTCCCTGCTCTGATTCCTGTGGGATGACCATTTCCACAATTCACTAAATCCCTGCATGAATAGCCAATAGTGCTACCATTCACAAACATGAGGCTTACTCAAGAAGCATTGGTGTACCAATCTGCACATGATGGTAAATCCTTGGAAGGTCTTCTTGGTCTGGACTGGGGCAAAAATAAAACTGGCAATGGTTTTGAAGATTTGGGTGGGGGAGGGGCACAATTCACACAACCAGCCTAACCAACTGTGAGGCAGCTTCTAATGCTTCCCCAAATGGCACAGCCTGTTGCCTCATTTGGAGCAGTATCAGGTTGCCATGAAGCTGTTTCAAGTTCCTTGCTAAGGTTTCCAGTTTGCTTTATATGAATGACAATAACCATGGGCAAACAGTCATTACATTTTATAATTTTTACCCAATTATCTCCAAGTAATACCAAATGATAAATATCAAAACTTTTACAACAGTCAGAAGGATCATGTCTTTTGCATCTCCAAACTGTCAACTTAATTCTTTATGCATATAACTTGGCTTCTCTTCTGATTGTTCTATGGCAAAGCCAACACTGCTACACTTAACCAGTCTTTTATATTACAATGTCCAAAAATAATAGAAATATATATAAAATAACTGTAAATAGCAGACCACTGTGGCATGAACTGGTCTAGCATGGGCATCTTTCACTGAAACTATTTTACATCATGCTAAATTCAAGGCAGGTAAGTACTGCCTGCTGCCCCATCTACCTCAGTGAGTATGGCTTATCTTTAAGAATATGGCCACTTCTTATCTCTGCACATGACTGCATTCTCTCGTTTGTGATATCAGGTGCCACATGTGCTTTTGGCAAATGCATACAGATTACATAAAAGGGCAATCTTCAAAAATGTTGCTGGTCTGTTTTATGGGCCATAAACCTGGCAGGCCAATTCTTGGTTTAAAAAACATGTTAATCTTGATACAGTTGAATAATCTTGATAAAAGCGCTGGCTTGTAGCTGGCCTGCCCATTAACCAGTCAACGGAAATCATTTTTGTACGTGAAAGACGGAGTTTGGAGTGTATCAACTCTGCTGCGCCCCCTCAAGGTAGATACAAATCATCGACAAGCTTCACACAACATAACAGAATACCTTTGATCGGAAGTTCTTTATACTTATGCCGCCTAAGACCGCTTTACACCGCGTATCTTGTTTTTAAAATGCGCAACGAACCCATCAGTCATATACGTGTGAACCCATTCCAAGCGCCTTTCTGCGTATTGCCCCTTTTTTAGTGGCTTGAACTTTTGTCTTTGTCTTTGCCTCGCCAACAATGTCTCAGTTTTTGTTATTGTTCTCTCGATTGGGAGGGGACATGTTTTGTTTTGCTGTAAGCTGACACGTGAACGGCATTTGTATAGCATCTCTTGTAACCATTACCATTGGTTTCGGGCTTTGAGCACTTATTTGTGTCGATGATTACGAAATGTCCAATGCATTGCTAACTGTTATTCAACTTCCACATAAACTTGCTATGATTACTGGGTGTGGGTAACGAACTCAGTATTCATCATGCTTTATGCCATATACTTAAATAGGCTGCCACCTTTTCGTTCAAGTGATGGAATGCAACATTGTTTGTCCTTACTCGGGCCTTGGCAGACAGCATTTTATTATGTTTGTTTTCATTACTCCAGTCTTAGGCAGACAGCATTCATTGAAGCCATGGTTCAGTATGAGTAACATAGAAAAGTGCTAACCACCACCAGCTTAAGATAATTATTTGAGACATTTTGTTGTATTTGTGATATCTGTGAATCTTTTTACCCTTTCTCACTGAATTTGGGCCTATTACAATGCCTAAAAGGCCACAATTTTCCATCACATAATTATATCCAATTGTTTCTCTTTTGAATTTGCCCAGTGTCTGGAAGCTAAACCCTTATTGCAGTAGGCCTTTTTGCTGGTTTGGTGAGTGACAGTTCAAATGAGCTAATCTGCTAGTAAATCATAAGGTTCCCTGGCTTTCTTATTGCCTATACATGCTGTCTACATGCAAGGCATGTGTATTTTACAATGCACAATGCATATTCAAACCATGTAGATCAGGTGTCCTTTTATTTTCAGGAGCAGTATTAGTGAACCAGTTCAACATGGGTCCTAAGATTTTTAAGTGGTCTGCTGTGATCATAACATGCTCAACAGAAAAGGAATCCTCTGCATTGACCCAAGGTATGCACACTAGCTACTGGTGGCATTCACTATATCTCATAGATGTGTGAAACTATTTGATGAGAATATTGCATTGGATTACAATGATAAAACTGTTTTTAAAATGAAATTTCACCATCAGTTACAAGAAAAGGAATAATGAAGGTCATTTTTAGCTGAGGCATTTAAACTATTTTTTGTCCATGATGGCTAAATAGTTGGATATGACAATTAGATACAGATATTTAATAGGCTAATGCAAATATTACTGATCAAAATGGCTGGGCAGCTTTTTTCTGCTGGATTCACTTCAAACTCATTCTGTAAAGTAGTTCTGCATGTGACTCACTGCCACCCAAAATAGATATCAAGGTGTCTGGTGACCAGTGTTTGTTGTAGCCTTACAAGAGGATCATCTGATGACTCCTGTTCTGAACTTCAGCTCTGTTGCAAAGGCCACTGAGGTCATTGGTCCAGAAATAAAGGGATCCAGGGCAAGGGCATAGTTTTTAAATCCAGTAAAGATAATTGGGCTCGCTTCATAACCTGTACAACTTCTTTCATCATTTAACATTGCAAACTTGCTGGATGTAGGAAGAAATTATAAAATATCAATGAGAAAGGACAAAGCAGTATATTTGCAGAAGACCAGCTGAATAACAGGCAATCATTGGTTGGAATGATAAAGCACTAGACCAGCTGCTTAGTAGCTCAAACCCACAACTTGGCAGACAGCCATGAACAAATGGTAAACTGCCTGAGCAATGCTGACCCCTTACAGATTCAGCCATACTGTGTGCTCTGGAGCAACATTTTACCCACATATCTGTCTGTACACTGCATATCAACCTCTATAACTGGGCAGTGCTCATGCACAGAGTAGATGGTGTTTATGATGAGGATCAACTGTAAAAAATAATTTGTCTCCTTCTTTTTTATTGTGATTTCTGCACCTGTCATTTTCTGTCATTGATGACATGGATGACATGACATCAATGTCATGACATCGATGTCATTTAAATAGCCTCCCGTGGTTTGTGCAACCCATACAGCCAAGCCAGGATGGCGTCAGTAGCAGCGGCAACTGTCGTCCCAGCTTCGGGAAGGTCTGGGGGTCACTGTGCCGGCTCCTGGGAGGTCTGGAGGTTACCACCCTGGCTGTCCCTGTGGGGTGCCTCCCGCACGCTCTGGACGGGCCGCCTGCACCCCCGCCCCCCACCGCCCCACACTTTCTTCACACAACCCCACGAGTCTGTGCCCATGTCGCCGGCCGGGCGTGCGATACTCAACCTGTCAGGTCGGCGAATCGTAGGCCTGGCCGCCGGGGGGGTTGGCCTGGTTAGGTTGGGGGTGGGGCCCCACACAGCCTCATAGTCTGATAATCACAAGTATATCACAAACACCCGAAGACCAGAGCCCCAGTACCACAGCTAAAACCAACAACATAAGGTGAATATGTGAAACAGTTAAAACCATCATTGCCTGCGAATGGTACCTGCGACGGGCGTGCAATACTAAAGCGATGGGTTGGACGGCAGCAAGCGGAGACAGCGGCGAGCGGGACGGCAGCAGGCGGAGACAGCGGCGAGCGGGACGGCAGCACGCGGAGACGGCGGCGAGCGAGACGGCAGCAGGCGGAGACAGCGGCGAGCGGGACGGCAGCAAGCGGAGACAGCGGCGAGCGGGACGGCAGCAGGCGGAGACAGCGGCGAGCGGGACGGCAGCACGCGGAGACAGTGACGAGCGAGACGGCAGCAGGCGGAGACAGCGACGAGCGAGACGGCAGCACACGCGGAGGACGGGGCGGCGAGCGAGACGGCAGCACGCGGAGACGGCGGCGAGCGGGACGGCAGCAGGCGGAGACAGCGGCGAGCGGGACGGCAGCAGGCGGAGACAGCGGCGAGCGGGACGGCAGCACGCGGAGACAGTGACGAGCGAGACGGCAGCAGGCGGAGACAGCGACGAGCGAGACGGCAGCACGCGGAGACGGCGGCGAGCGAGACGGCAGTACGCGGAGACAGCGGTGAGCGGAACGGCAGCAAGCGGAGACAGCGGCGAGCGAGACGGCAGCACGCGGAGACAGCGGCGAGCGGGACGGCAGCACGCGGAGACAGCGGCGAGCGAGACGGCAGCAGGCGGTGGCAGCAACGCGGTGCTCAAACGCTACATTTGTCGGGCCCGCTCTGCATCCTGGTCGTATCTGGCGCCTAGTCAGCACCGACCCAATGTTCGCTGACGCGTCGTGTCCGATACCGGAAGAGAGTAACGTTACCAACGAAGACTGGAACATCAGGAGGAACAAGTCTGGTCAGCAAAAAAACGGGCACAGTTACCCATTAGTTTGCTTTTAAAACCATTTGGGGAATCTGAGATGTGTGGTTTTTATCACTCATCGTGAGAAGTACGTGCTCCAGGATGAGCAAGACGCGACGGTGGTGACATCACACCACTTTTGTAACTGCTAGCTCATGGTACCTGGTGGAGCTACGCCTACAATATACACTGCCATGTACCCTTCCCGGACTGGCTCCGGCCACGCGTCCGGACCACGTGCCTCTTTGCTCCATCAGTGCGACCTCCTGTTGGGTCACTTGCATACACGTCCTGTCTGGTACCGCCGTCGCCGGCCGACGCACCCCTCGGCCCTCCCGGCCTTCTCGACGCTCTTGTATTGGGCGATGTGTGACCAAATAGGGCTGAGGCGGCCAGAAGCCCTCTCGCACCGGACGGTGTGTGACCAAGTGTGGCTGAGGCGGCCAGAAGCCCTCTCGCACCGGGCGATGTGTGACCAAATAGGGCTGAGGCGGCCAGAAGCCCTCTCGCACCGGGCGATGTGTGACCAAATAGGGCTGAAGCGGCCAGAAGCCCTCTCGCACCGGACGATGTGTGACCAAGTGTGGCTGAAGTGGCCAGAAGCCCTCTCGCGCCGGGCGGTGTGTGACCAAGTGTGGCTGAAGTGGCCAGAAGCTGTGATCGCGTCACCTGTATCCCGGACGCCACCTCGCGGCGCCAACGCGCGTCAGTCTGCCGCAGCCAGTCATCCCCTGTCACCCTCCGCTGCCAGGTGCCGGCCTCCATGCCACGCAGCCGGGGTACGGGACACAGGAGTATGGAATCCAGATGTCACCGAAGGCGCTCGTGTTTCCACGGCAGGTGGGAGACCTTGCGAGGGAGGACCCAGGAGGGAGGGGAAGGGGGAGTAATTCGGATGTGATTGACCTATGTGACCCAAATGACCCACCCGATGACCCACCCTAAGGCGCCCAAATGTGGGCAAAAGCTAACTGTTATGAATTGTGGAAAAGTGGGTAACTTCTATCGAGGAAAGTTTGTTATAATTCAGTTTTTTAGTTTCAAAGAAAGTGAACCTAATGAGTTTCTGAAAATCAGCACACCTTTTTGGATTTTGCTGTGCAAGCTTCCCTCCCCCCCTCAGGCCTTATCAGGGATAAACACCTCATCGTGGGATTGACTTTGATCACCAGGACGAGGTGTATGATCTTGGGATATTGTGTTGCGCACTAATTTGACTGTTGTGTGTTTTCATGGCAGTCATGGAGCAAGGTAAACTCGTGGATGCCTTTAAAGCACGTTGGTTCTGGTTACACAAGTGTTTGCCTCTGTATTTTAAGTGTGTCTAGTCTGATGCATCCGTGCTGCTTAAAACATTCATTCAATTCAGTCTTCATTTCCAACTGGTGCATGCAGAATTTGTTTTTGGTAGTCTTCGGCTTTCATGTTTTTGTCCGTTGCGATTCCTCCTTCGAGCTCCAGGAACAGTGACGCCGAACTGACAGCGTTCACTTTATGTGCACTGCGCCGCCAGCTTAAGGACGCGCTCTTCATGTTTGCATGTTTTTTTTTTTTGTTGCGCGTGCAAAGGCCGGCTCCCAGTCCCGCCATCTGGCTAAAGTTGGTGGCATTTCTCCCTGACTACGTGAAGTGTTTTCACCCGCCGTACTGTCTGCGCTGATTGGGCGGTGCAGTGTCTGACTGTGCCCAGTCGACCGCCGCGCTCACGGTACCCTTTGCAAGCAGAGCTGGTCATGCTGCGCGAGAAGGGCCACCTGCACGC